CCACTTCCTGATGACTTTTTTTCAATTGCAAACGCCTTAAGTAATTTTTGCAAAGGAGAATTGCATAGTATTTTGTTTGAAAATGGTGTAATTACTATTAGAAGAAAAATTTCAAGAATTATTGAGAAAGATGGGAGACCGATACGAGAAATGAAACCATTAATTATTACCAATGCTTGCAAAGTGGATAAATTAGAAAAATTTGAATTCACATATGACTCAATGCTAGCGAAAATTTTGGTATACTTTAATTTAATAATGTTATGTTTTTGAGTGTTGTATCGTTATAATATTAATATTTTTAAATTTAGGACCTTGAAAAAGATGTAAAATTTTTAAGAACTGAACTTGAAATAGAAAGATATAATAAAATTACAGTAAATTTTGAGCTATTTCTTATTATCAAAATATTGTAGAATGGATAATTTAGCGTTTTATTTAATTTCTAGGATACTCCTGTCACACAAGTTCTTGTTGAGAGGCATTTGAATCAAAATAATTCGGAAGTATCGAGTATTGAACTAGATTCGGAAGTGTCGAGTATTGAACTAGATTCTGAATTGTCGAGTACTGAACTAGAAAGTTCTTATAAAAATACAGTAGCTTTTGAGTTATTTACTATTATCAAAATATTGTAGAACGGATACTTCATTGTTTTATTTAATTTCCAGGATATTCCTGTCACTCAAGTTCTTGTTAAGAGGAATTTGAATAAACAAAATTCGGAAGTGCCGAGTACTGAACTAGAAAGTTCTTATGAACATACGGTAGCTTTTGAGTTATTTTTTTATTGTCAAAATATTGTAGAGCGGATAACTTATAGTTTATTTAATTTCCAGGAAATTCCTGTAACTCAGGTTCTTGTTGATAGGGATTTGAATCAAAATAACTCGAAACTATCAAGGCGTGCTTCTAGTTCATATGAGGCATCAGAATCACTAAGCATGCTATTAAATAGTTTGAAGATTCAAGAAGAAGATGAAATTGAAGATACATGGATAAATATTAATTCAAGACTCGAATCAATATTTGGACATTCAAATCAATTAAACACTCAAATTTCTGAAGAAATTAAAAATCAATATTTATCATTGATTGATTTACTCCAAAATTCAAAATTCGCAAGGGAATACCCAGTTCTTGTTAATGAATGGAAAAACAAGGCCGTACATTCTTTTGGTATTTATTGTTAATTATTGTTGCGGCTGAAGCTGGAAACGGCTGAAGCTGGAAATTTTAAATATTTTATTATGAAATTTTCAAAAT